AAGTGATCCCTCTTTTTTTTCCCACAAGAAGTGTAAGAAGGAGAGTTATCTGAAATCAAATGGGAAGTTGTGACACCACGTGTGAATGAATGGCTGTGACTCACACTCAAGTCAGCTGGTAGATGTCTGAGGTGTGTGCTTTTTGTGTCTTCCTACATGGTTCAGTTAAGCTGGGTACAGTTTTATGCGCTTACCTAGTGTTTCCGATGAACAAAATTGTGTCTTGGCAAACACAAAAATCTGTGTTATGGCCAAACTGTTCCCTAATATATCCACTGGGACAAATTCGAGTTTCCAAAAACGTATTATAGCAGAACTGATAGGAAGATAATGCTATTGTCATGTCTGTCCTAATAAAGAATTGAGGGACCCTGGCTGGCTTAGTCAGAATAGCATGCAACTTTTTGATCTCAGGCCCATGTTGGGTATAGAAGATTACTTAAGGGGCGCCTGGGTGGCTCAGTGGGTTAAAGCCTCTGCCTTCGGCTCAGGTCATGATCCCAGGATCAAGCCCCACATCAGGCTATCTGCTTAGCAGGGAGCCTGCTTCCCTTCCTCTCTCTCTGCCTGCCTCTCTGCCTACTTGTGATCTCTCTGTCACACAAATAAATAAAATCTTTAAAAAAAAAAAAAAAAAAAAGAAGAAGATTACTTAAATAAATAAAAACTTAAAAATAAAAAATAAAGAAATTAAGGGTCCCCAAAGGAGTTACAATGAGTGTCTCCGGTATGTTTATGCTGTACTTCATGAAAGGGAGAAAAGAAGAGACTGCTCTGTTGATATCAGCCATTCTACTGAAAACTTAAGAAGGAGCAAACCAGAATGCAAAATCATACATCCATTATGCCCATGGTCATTTAAATAAAAGCCTAAAAAATAAAGTGGAAGTAAAAAATTAAAATAATGTTAATAATGATTAACTTGGAGGGTAGTGTTGAGTGGGCTTTTCCAATTCAAATCTTCAATAGTGAGGACTGCCTTTAAAGAAAAGAAAACAATTTTTAAATCGTATAAAAATTCTACCCTGATCGCTTTTATTAACAGCAAAAAATTATAAGGGAAGAGAAGTCCCAATGAAGGTACACACATTAGAGTTACAGAAAGAAGTAGAGTAATAACATAAAACACTATAGATCTGAAATAGGATTTTGCACCTGTTTTAGTTAAGACAATGTTTCTTCTTTCTAACATTCATATCCTGATGTGTCCATGCTCTTTGAAAAGCAAAACCTTGCGGTGCCCAGGTGGTTGGTCTGTTAAGCTTTAAGACTCCGGATTTCAGCTCCTGCTCCTATCAAGATCATCATTTAAAGGACCTTGAGATTAGGCCCCTGGACAAGCTCAGTGGGGAGTCTGCTTCTCCCTTTGCAGCACCCGCCCTGCACTCACTGGAGGGCAGGTACCATCTCTCACTCTCTCAAATCTTTACAATAAAAAAAAATAAAGGAAAACCTTGTAATATTTCCTCCCTTGTAACTTAACTAATTTCTGCTCAGAGGGCATGTGGTAAAACAAAGGGTTCACTGAACTAAAGCCTTTTTCTTCACTTTGGAAAGAAGATACCTGTCCCACTGCCTGACAGGATTACTGTTGGGTAATGTCTGTGAAGGTGCTTTGCATACTATTAAAAACAACATAAATGTAACCTAATGTTAAGGTTACTAGATGGGGGAGGACTTAGAAGCACTTATGACTCCATAATTACTTAATAAAACAATTAATACTGCATTAAATATATTTGTGAAAACAAAGAGACCAGTTAATTACTATGTGAGAATGATAAAACTTAGTATTTGTCTTAACTCACTTCCCTATTTTTTAATCAGAGCCATTCCTGACGGCTGAATTACATACATAAATAAAAATGGTAAATTATACACCCTGGTTAATCCTGCCCTTTGTAAGTCATTTAGAACTGTCTTGGTTTTTTTTGTTTGTTTTGGTTTTTTTTTTGGTGTGTGACAGTTTTATTTAGATATCACACTGAGTAGGGTATCTGCAAGCACACATCTAATAACCTGTCTTGCCTTTTTTTAAAAAAAACCTTATTTTGACCAATGCACTATAAACTTAACCAAGTAGGCTTATTAAGAAAAATCACACAATGAAAACAAAAACAAAAACCTACGAATATGTGATACTGATTCATTTTTCCTAAATTTTGAGTTGCATAAATTTCATGATTCCCACCTCCAAATAATTTCTAAATATGTTTTTTTTAAAGATTTTATTTATTTGAGAGAGAGAGAGAGAGAGAGAGACAGGGCACAGGCAGGGGGAGGAGCAGAAGAAGAGGGAGAAGCAGACACCTCTTTGAGCAGGAAGCCCAATGTGGGACTTGATCTTGGGACTCCCCATGACCTGAGCCGAAGACAGCCACTTAACCGAGCCACCCAGGTGCCTCTAAATATGTTTTAAAAAGGAAAGTAGTCCACATATAAAGATGCCCGAGATAAACAAGGGTTGATTTCAATAAAATACAGCCTAACTAGTATTTAACAGACTCAATTCTCAAAAAGTACATTCTTGCTATTTGTAAGAAAAATTAAATATTTAATTCATAATTTATAACAGCACACATACAAACTAGTTCTGTGAGTTCTTGTATCCTACAATGACTTTTTAAGAATTTGTCTAGCTGTGTACAGTATCTCATAAATTATTTGGTACAGTGGAAACATTTTCTAACATATGAGGCCAAATTTCTATTCTTTAGGCAGTCTTCCTTTTTTAAAATGCCCATTAGTCAGCAGACACCCTCACCAAGATCATCCATTCTCTAGTCCCTGCTACACGTGCTGATAGATTAATGAAAGTAATGAACTGATGATTCACAATTTAACAAATTCCTTTAGATAAGGAATTAATAATTTCAAATTAGATTCTAGATTTTATGTTTGTTTTTATTTTTTTAGTCATTTTTCTCCTTTTTAAACAGTATTCAAACTACAAGTTGCTGTAAGTCAGGGAATAATGACTAGAAGCTTTAAAAAATGTTTGTTTTATAACAGAATTAAACAGGGCTAAACCTTTGAAAGCTGAAAATTAACAAAACATCCTCTAGGTCATGAAAACAAAAAAGTATCAGTATAGCAACAGGTCCCAAGTAAAATAATGGTCTGAAAAGCTTAAAAATAGAAACATACATGATGGAAAACCAATCTTCTTCCTGATTTAACACAATGAAATGTAAATGAAGTATTTGATGAGTATTCATAAGAAAATTATTCCCCTGTTAATTCTACTTAACACTAATCTGAAAAGTGTCAATTATAATTCAAGGTTTACTATTTAATAAGTAAATATTTATACATTTATTAAATTACTGAAGTTTATCTTTATCCCCAAACCAAAAACTAATGATAAAAATGTTTCTGGTTTGAGAATGTGGCCTGGAAATAAGCCAAATCAAAGCTATTTATTTGACTGGCAATAATTTCTAGCAAAAGAAATGAGATTCTTTCCAGTTTAAGCTACTCATGTTCAGTAAAAATTATTAAGCAATGTATAAATGTTAGACACTTAAAAAGAATCACAGACTTCATTATACCTAAATCAAAATTACTCAGAAATGAAAATTAAAACAGAAGCAGTAGCAAAAATATTAAGTTCACCTGAGACCATTTCACTTTCTTACACTCAATTGTTGCTTATTTTGGTCTTTTTACCTTTTTCTACTACTAGTAGATATTATGGCCCATACTAAAAATTAAAAATTGAGTTTTATTTATATGTAATAGTATTAAAATTAGAGCTCCTCTTAATCAATGTTTTATTTTAGATGGAATATACTAACTAAAACTTTCAACCAAACACTTCAAACTTTAACATACAAATAGAGGAAATCAATGGTTTTATGTGTATAGATCTACATAGATGGTGCAGGCATGTGTATTCTGGAGTCAGGCTGTCTGAGTTCAAATCACGACTCTGCTAATGACTAACAAGCCTTATTCCCTAGTGAAATTATTCTACCTCTTGAACGCCACACTTCTCTCATCTACAAAATTAAACATTGTGTCTATTATACCTACCTTTTAAGATAATTGTGAGAACTGAATGAGATCGCTCTATGTAAAACACCTGAGACATTATAAGCACTTGATAAGGTTTACCACTATTCTATGATTATTAGCACATATATGACCATATCTTCTGTAACCTTTATGATGTCACCAGGGAAAGAGGAGGCTAGAGCCCAAGCATCTCCATTAAACAACTTCTCATATCTAATTCTGATTTTCCTCCTATACATGTACATACATACTCAAACACATTTTCTGGTAAAAGTATTACTCATAGTGTATAAGACTTGGTATTGTCTGAGTGTTCTGCAACCTCCCAAAAATTGTACGTTGAAATCCTCGTGTTCAATGTGGTAGTATTAGGAGATAGAGCTTCGAGGTGTTTCAGAGGTTCTTAGGTCACAAACATAGAGTCCTCATGGATGGAATTAGTGCTCTGATAAAGCAATCTGAGAGAACTCCTTGGCCCCTTCCTTACCACAGTAAGGACAGAGCAAGAAGTCTGCAACTGCAAAGATGACCTTCACCAAAATCTGACCTTGGTGGCTCTCTGATCTCCAAACTGCCAGCCTCCAGAACCTTGAGAAAAGTAATTTCTATTTAAGCCCTCTCTTTCTATGGTGTTTTGTTATGGCAGCCCAAGCTGACTAATAAAGGTAGTATACTTATATTTTCAATGTTCAAATACACAAGGGGATATGATTCTTAGTTTCTATTTTGCTTAATTTCATCAGTTCCATACAAATTCATGGTACGCACAGTTTTCAAGGACAGCAGGGTATAACAGAATAAGTCATGATCAAACAGACATTACTATACTCCTGCCTACAATGTAATTTCTTAACAGCACAATATTAAGGTTTCTTATTTTTCAACAAGCTGTTTGAAACAGTTCTCCTTAGTTAAGCTATGGTCAGACAGATATTACAGTCACATCTATAATATGTTGTAAGTTAAAATTTAAGGAGTCTTACCTTTTATATCTGCCTGAAACTGTTCTAGATGGGTCCTGTAAAGCAATAATAATGACATCAATTTCGGTGTATGTGTAAGAACACAATTCCACATTACATAAAACAGTTAATGATTTTGAAAGAAATTAATTTGGAACAAATATCACTGCTTTAAAAACTTGACAATGCTGGTCAAACAAAATAAGAGTCTACATCTGATTTCTCAGACAAAACCAACCACTTTTTAAAAAATTGTTTTTTTTTTTTTTAAGATTTCATTTATTTGACAGAGAGAGATCACAAGTGGGCAGAGAGGCAAGCAGAGAGAGAGAGGAGGAAGCAGGCTCCCTGCTGAGCAGAGAGCCTGATTCAGGACTCAATCCCAGGACCCTGAGATCATGACCTGAGCCAAAGGTAGAGGCTTAACCCACTGAGCCACCCAGATGCCCCCAAAATTGTATTTTTAATTTAGAAGATTCTTAAAACTCAGAAAATTGAAAAAGGAAACCTTATTCATCAACCAATCAGCTTAAATCACTTTGGAAGTCACTGAGCATTTAAAAACACAATTAGAATACACACACACACACACACACACACACACACACAATACATATACATAAATAATGTATCTCCCTCTTTTACTTTTTTATACCCTCAATTAAAAAAAGACTCACCTCAAATACATATAATGATTAATGCTTATTTTAAAAGACAGCTAAAAATTAAAACTAAAAGTATTCTTTATGCTGATTGTATACTATCCAAAAGAAAGGCTGTTGTAAATTAACATTAACCACTTGGATGGAGAAATTATTATCTTGCAATTAACCAGGGATTTTTCTGTTCAATCATTTTTTTTAAGATTTTATTTATTTATTTGAGAGAGTGAGTGCCTGCACCTGGGAGTAGCAGGAGGAACACTGGAGGAGGGGAAGGAAGGTGGAAGAATCTCAAACAGAAAGTGCTGGGCTTGATCCCTCCACCCTGATCACGACCTGAGCTGAAACCAAGAGTCAGACACTTAACCAAGTGAGCAACTCAGGCACACCATTCAATCTTTGTTTTTTTTTAAGATCTGATTTATTCACTTGAGAGAGAGAGAAAGGGACATCAAGAGACAGCATGAGCGGGTAGGAGAGAGAGATGCAGGCTCCCTGATGAACAGGGATCCCGATGCAGGGCTTAATCACAAGACCCTAGTATCATGCCCCTAAGCAACTGAGCCACCCAGGTGCCCCAACCCCTTTCAATCTTTTAATACCCTGGACTCTCCAAATATTTTTTGCAGCTTCATTTTAATATAAAACCTGTCAAAATGAAATGATGAGTCTTTTTAAAAATTGATCATTCTCTTCTTCTAGTTATCATTTAAAGTATTCAAGACTCTACAATTAAAGAATGCCCCATATTAAAATCAGAGAATCCACCTTTTTATAAATAAGATGACCAGATTCCAGACTAAAACAGCAAATACTGATTGCATGGTACAATAAAGGACTCATCAATGTAGAGGAAACAGTATAGCAAACCACATGGTTTAGAGTAAGATTTAGATCCAAGTTCCAACCAGACAGGCTTCAGTAGCTATGAAGCAATGTTAAGTTATTTAACTTCTATCAGTCTCAGTTTCCTCATCTCTAAAATAGGAGTAACAATGTCTATGTTATTGGATTATTGTGGGGATTAAAGGACATAAGTGAGTAAAAAAAATTGCATAACTCCTTTACAATAGGCTTACAATTTAAATTTTGAAGCGAAGATTTTTTTTTTTAAGATTTTATTTATTCGACAGACAGAGATGACAAACAGGCAGAGAGGCAGGCAGAGAGAGGGGGGAAGCAGGCTCCCCGCTGAGCAGAGAGCCTAATGGCTTGCTCCCAGGACGCTGGGGTCATGACCTGAGCTGAAGGCAGAGGCTTTAACCCACCTAACCACCCAGGAGCCCCAAGATTTTTTTTTTTTAAACTGGGATACAGAATAATCTTTACCAATTTTTCTATGTGGAATTTTAGTAAATCTGTTTCAATTGTTCCAAGTCAGTACATATCCATTACGACAGTCTAACCTACTTACTTAAATAAAAGTTTATCTCATTTTTTCATGTCTGATATATATCTTATTTTCTGGAAGATGGGGATTCCCACCTTTGATAACGTTTTTGTCCCAACCCCCAGCTCAAATAGTATGGAATAAATAATATGGGCAATGTATGAAAATAACCTCTCTAGTCACCTGCCACTACAGAAAAGTACCACTTTGGAATTAAGCAGTTGCAGAAAGTAACCAGGTTACAGATAGGATGCTAGAAGTGTCCATATGTATGGGCTTGACCTTTGAGGAAGTTATGCTTTGACAGCTGGTTTAAAGACATTTTAACTCTCCCCACCCTGGCATCAGCTGTTCTTACAGAAGGGAGTAACAAAGCCTACCAAGTAAACTTGAAAGAATTTATCAGCCTGTATTAAAGTGGCAGTACCTAAAATTAAGGCAGGTGAATCTTTGTACTTTATACATCAAACATGTAAACAAAACGTCTGTTTACAAAAATATTTCTTATAATCAACAAAAAATAAACTTTGTAAAACCTAGCTTTTCAGTTATTTTTAAAACCAAAATAACTAGATTAAAATGTCTAAACACTTGCTGAAAAAGCATATGACAAAGTACAGCATCCCTTCCTGATCAAAACTCTTCAAAGTGTAGGGATAGAGGGCACACACCTCAATATCATCAAAGCCATCTATGAAAAACCCACCGCAAATATCATTCTTAATGGAGAAAAACTGAGAGCTTTTCCACTAAGGTCAGGAACACAGCAGGGATGTCCATTATCACCACTGCTATTCAACATAGTACTAAAACTCCTAGCCTCAGCAATCACACAACAAAAAGAAATAAAAGGCATCCAAATCAGCAAAGAAGTCGTCAAACTATCACTCTTTGCAGATGATATGGTACTTTATGTGGAAAACCCAAAAGACTCCACTCCAAATCTGCTAGAACTTGTACAGGAATTCAGTAAAGTGTCAGGATATAAAATCAATGCACAGAAATCAGTTCCATTTCTTTACACCAACAACAAGACAGAAGAAAGAGAAATTAAGGAGTCAATCCCATTTACAATTGCACCCAAAACCATGAGATACCTAGGAATAAACCGAACCAAAGAGGCAAAGAATCTATACTCAGAAACCTATGAAGCACTCATGAAAGAAATTGAGGAAGACACAAAGAAATGGAAAAATGTTCCATGTTCATGGATTGGAAGAACAAATATTGTGAAAATGTCTATGCTACCTAGAGCAATCTACACATTTAATGCAATCCCTATCAAAGTCCCATCCATATTTTTCAAAGAAATGGAACAAATAATCCTAAAATTTATGTGGAACGAGAAAAGTCCTTGAATAGCCTGAGGAATATTGAAAAAGAAAGCCAAAGATGGTGGTATCACAAATCCAGACTTCGAGCTCTATTACAAAGCTGTCATCATCAAGACAGTATGGTACTGGCACAAAAACAGACACATAGATGAATGGAACAGAAGACAGCCCAGAAATAGACCTTCAACTCTATGGTCAACTAACCTTCGACAAAGCAGGGAAGAATGTTCAATGGGAAAAAGTCTCTTCAACAAATGGTGTTGGGAAAATTGGACAGCCACTTGCAGAAAAATGAAACTGGACCATTTCCTTACACCACACACGAAAACAGACTAAAAATGGATGAAGGACCTCAATGTGAGAAAGGAATCCATCAATATCCTTGAGGAGAACACAGGAAGCAACCTCTTTGACTTCAGCCACAGCAACTTCTTCCTAGGAACATCACCAAAGGCAAGGGAAGCAAGGGCAAAAATGAACTATTGGGACTTCACCAAAATCAAAAGCTTTTGCACAGCAAAGGAAACAGTTAACAAAACCAAAAGACAACGAAAAGAATGGAAGAAGATATTTGCAAATGACATTATCAGATAAAGGGCTGGTATCCAAAATCTATAAAGAGTTTATCAAACTCAACACCCAAAGAACAAATAATCCAATTAAGAAATGGGCAGAGAACATGAACAGACATTTCTGCAAAGAAGACATCCAGATGGCAACAGACACATGAAAAAGTGTTCCACATCACTCAACATCAGGGAAATACAAATCAAAACCACAATGAAATAATACTACCTCACACCAGTCAGAATGGCTGAAATTAACAAGTCAGGAAATGACAGATGCTGGCGAGGATGCAGAGAAAGGGGAACCCTCCTACACTGTTGGTGGGAATGCAAGCTGGTGCAGCCACTCTGGAAAACAGCATGGAGGTTCCTCAAAAAGTTGAAAATAGAGCTACCCTATAACCCAGCAATTGCACTACTGGGTATTTACCTTAAAGATACAAATGCAGTGATCTAAAGGGGCATGTGCGCCCAAATGTTTATAGCAACAATGTCCACAATAGCCAAACTATGGAAAAAACCTAGCTGTCCATCGACAGATGAATGGACAAAGAAGATGTGGTATATATATATGCAATGGAATACTATGCAGCCATCAAAAGAAATGAAATCTTTCCATTTGCGACGACGTGGATGGAACTAGAGGGTATCATGCTTAGCGAAGTAAGTCAATCGGAGAAAGACAACTATCATATGATCTCCCTGATAAGAAAAGGGGAGATGCAACGTGGGGGATTTGAGGGTAGGAAAAGAATAAATGAAACAAGATGGGATTGGGAGACAAACCATAAGAGACTCTTAATCTCACAAAACAAATTGAGGATTGCCAGGGAGAGGGGGTAGGGAGAGAGTGGTAGGGTTACTGACACTGGGGAGGGTATGTGCTATGGTAAGTGCTGTGAAGTGTGTAAACCTGGCGATTCACAGACCTATACCCCTGGGGCTAGTTAATACATTATATATTAATAAAAAAATAAAAAAATTAATTTTAAAAAATGTCTAATCACTGATTATTTAGAAAAAGCAGAAATTCTAGGCTTATGTGTATCCAAAATACATTTTATTGAATGCAGATGATGATTTCATATGAAACTTTAACCTCTA